GGTCCACTCATGCCTAACTTGGAATATGGCTATGGAAAGGGGTACTGAGATATTGTCGTATTTGTTTGGATAAGGAGTTGGTAGCAATTCATCTCACCCGAGTCTTGTGGCTATCGATTATTACATCAGGCCCTGTCGGCAGAATTTGTTTTTAAGTTGAGTTTTAATTTAAATTATACATTATTGAATAATCTAAATTTAATCTAACTATTAATAATTATGTTATTCACATATCATACAACTTTAATAGAATAAATTTAGTACTTTTACCCCTATATATAGTTTTTTCACGTTAAATTTTTCATAAAATAAAATAAAGTGAATAGATAAACATGCACCATGACATTCACTCAAATGAAAACTTTTTCCTTGTGCCACTTTTTTGTTTCCCATTATTTTCAACGCATATTATCTAATAATTTGTCTTATCTATCCAAGCTCACCGAACACTCACGGGGCAACATGCTTTCCACCTAAAACAGATGTTAAACGTTCTGATATTGTGTTATTGTTGAATTTAGTCCATCGTGAACAACTCTTCGTCAATCCAAGCTAACATGTGATCGTTTATCGTAAATAGATCTCAAAGTGGAGAGGAATTCAACCTTTGTATTACCAGTAAAATCTGTTTACAAGAAACTCAACTAGTTAATACCTAAACTTATCGTAGCTAGTTAATAATTATGTGCTTCTGCACATATAATATTCTCATACATAATTTAGATCCTGATGATCCCCGCAAGGTATAATTAATAAACCATGTATCATTAACAAAAGGCATATACCAACCAAAAACAATTGGTACTCGTGCTAGTCCTCAAACGATGGTATTATTTAAAATATAAGCTCTAAATCAAACGATGGGTTGTTAGAGAAAACAAAAAAAACAAAAAACGCGAAGAATATTGATGTATGGTTTAATATGTAAATAAGAAAGTGCATAACCTGATACAGTATTATACTGTGTATTAGCTTGAATTCTCATTGGTTTTGCCTTCAGATTTATCGATTCATTTGCTTTTTTAGGTTGATGTTGGCTGTAATAAAAGAAAAGATATATGCTTATTAATTGTTTGGGTAAATACAGTGTAGTCTTTGTGGTTACATAGAAATATAGTTGTGTTTTTCAATAGTGTTTTGGATGAAAGGGAGGTCCTAGATTCTATTATTCTGAGGTCCTAGAAATGACTATCACTTATTAGTAAAAGAGAAACTATTATGGTAGTTGATTGGTATTTGAACTCACGAAATTGCATCCGTCTTAACTTTATATAAGTATATTTTTACTTTTTATTTCTCTGAATAAGTAATTTTTTTCCTGTGTATATGAGTTTTGAGTTCCCTTTAAACTCTTTCTAATAATATTTGTTTTGTCTATATAAAAAAAAAACCAATTCAGTAACTATGAACAATTTTTTACGATTTTAAAAAAATCACCATATTATTAAACTGACGTACTATCACATTTATTATTTAATAATCTTGACATCTCATGAATCAAACTAACTAAGAAATAGAGAATTAAGGGATGGCAAATTAACGTAGTATATATATATATATATATATATATATATTTAATTCTCTTTATGTAAATATTTTAATTATGAGTGGACTAAATTTATTGTATTGTAATTGTTTGAGACTTAAACAGTATTGTCTTCTATAAAAGGTATATGTAATTTAAAATAAATTAAGGAAAGTATAACTTCTATTTTTAGGATAATAGTTACAAAATTAAAAATGATATTTTTTTATTAAAAATATCATCAATGTATATCTATTGTAATTTTTAATACACTCTAAAATTCATTTTCGGTAAAACATTTTTATTATCAATTCGTCGCTACATCAAAATCTAATTACACAGTATAAACTATAAATTTATTAGCCTAACTGTACATAGAAATAAACTTTAATTTTTTTACTCATAAAATCATAGTATATATTCATTATTATCTTTAAACGCATTTATTAAATATAAGCGAATGTTGTTTTTGATTTTTTGGTGACTACAAAAATAAAAAAGTTATATTTTGAATAAATAATTTGAATATATACGGACAGATATTATTATTATTATTATTTATTAAATTAAATTTTATTATAAATGTATCAAATTCATATTATTAGTATACACTATGTAAAAATAATATTTATATTAATAATTAAAATACTGAAAAATTATACTATAGAATTGAATTTTATTCTAGATTTTCATATAAATTTAAAATGAACAATTTTATATTGAATCTTTCTGAATAATTTACAAATTGAAGTAAAATTTCAATTCTTTAATATTTATTATAAAAATAAAAAATAATAATATTGTGTTATTGTGATAAATATTTGACATAAAGAAATTTATTATCACTGTTCTTTTTGTTTTACTTATGTTACTTGTGTCTTTGACATTTTCCTTTTCCCCTGGAGCATGATTGATATATTTGTGGCATAATTTTTTGTATTTAATTTTTTAAGTGAGAAAATATGTAAAGTTTGAAAATAAATATATATTTATTAATAATTTAAATTTAAACATTTATTACATATATTTGAAATTACTTTAACAAATTTTTACTCCTGAATCTAGTAACAGATTATTTAGAGATGAAGTATTTTATCGTAATTTTATTATAAAATCTATATTATTTTTTGAGGACAAAGTACAATTTCTCAAAATTTTATTTATGTTGTCTTTTAACTTTAGCAACAAAATTAGGATCGAAATATTTTAGAGAGAGATTTTATTTGTCTCATATTCCTTTACTAAAAATAATTTGTATATTTTGAGATAAATTAAAAAAATGATGAATACATAATTCTTTGTTAAATCTATCCCAAAAACATTATAAATAGAAAGGTCTTTAGCAATTTTTTAAAAATATTTATTATAATTTTACTCATGAATTTAGTGATGAATTATTTAAGAGATAAAGTATTCTATGGTAACTTTATTTTAAATATATATTAGTTTTTAGACAGAGTATCAAAATTTTTATTTTTTGATGCCTTTTAACTTTAGCAACAGAATTAGTATCGAAATGTTTTAGAAAGAGAATTCACTTGTTTCATTCTCATATTCCTAAACTGAAAATAATTTGTGCATTTTGAGATAAATAAATAATTCTTTCTTAAATCTATCCCAAAAATATTAGTGCAATAATCTATTCAATTCTCTGTCTAAATTTATAGATGTTAGTGAGCGATTTATGTCTCTCTAAATTTTGTTGTTAAATTTAAGTTCTCTTTTAGTAATGACATTAGAATCAAAATGTAATTAAAGTTGTTAAATTGTCTATTATTATAAGTCTTCAAATAAAAGTAATTCATTTCCTCATGTAGAAGTTAAAATTAACGGAATAGAAAAATTAATAATTAACTATAACGAGCATCAAGCATGGGAATTAATAAATACACTTGTTATAATAGGAGAGAGCGACCCAATTTATTTTAAATAAATTTTTTAAAAAGTTAATAAAATATTTTAAAAAAGAGGAACCATTGTTTAGTAAATACTGAGAAGAAAGCAGGAATTTTAAATGCATAAGATCCGGATTCCACGTACTCGTGGCATGTGCTATGCTTGGGTGATAATGTACTTAATATTATAGTATGCATATATGTTTTTTCTTTAATTTAATCAATCACTCTTCATTTGATGAATAAATGTTAAGTCTAGCAAAAATAATTAATATTTTACGAGAAATAATGTATCTCAGTTTATCTGTAGTTTCGAATTTGAATTCTAATAAAAATTTAAAAGAAATATATTTTTAGTCCCCGCCCTTTTCTATGTCAAATTCAATGATCCATGTGACACACACCTTACAGGTATATCATTCTAAGAATACAAAAACTTTCAAAATACTGGAAAAATACATATTATGTGGTAGACACTTTTTGTATGGTCTTTGTTCCTAAAATTTATAAAACTATCTTTATACTTAGATACATAGCTTTTTTTTTTTTTTTTTCATTTTTATTATTTAGTGAACTAGTAGCCTCTAAATACTAACATCTTTTGCAAATCTTTTTTATTTTGCGTAATTATGGTCACCTTTATATATTATATCGACATGTATTATTTGAGTAATATTTTTCTAATATGTATATTATTGGAATGATATTGATTGAAAATATTGTCTTTTTATATTTTATTAAAACAGTCAAATCAGTTGAGAAAAGAAAGAGAGAGAAGAATTTAAGGCTGCTTGGCGTTTGGATTCAATTGACTTTTAAGTAAAATATCATCCAATTTAAAAACGAAAAATACTTTATAATTTAGTTTAGATTTGTCTTAATATAATATTAAATTTAATCTAAATGAAAATATTTTAAACTGAATTAAGTGATTTATTATTTTTTTATTTACCAAAAAAAGAAGATATACTAAATAAAATTCATTTTATTATTTTGTACATTTTAAAAATAAAAATTATTTTATGTAAAGCACGACTTATAAAAAAAAATACGAGACACACGAAAGTTTGATACATATTGAATCATAACTAATTAACTTATAAATTTATTTAATTAACCGAAGAAATTATAATTTACAGAACAAAATTGTAAAAAATAATTAAATATTTTAATTTTATAAATATATAATTATATCAATACGAGTGAGATGTTAGTTTTAGGCATAATATGCATGTAAATTTACTTAAGATTACATCAACTTTTGAAATTAGATCTAATCCAATAAATTAGATCTTTAACTATTTCATTTTTTATTTTATTTTTTTTCATTTGATTCTATAGTTTGCGTCAAATTTTAATAAATATAATAGGAAGTGTCAAAAAAACCATTGTGAAAAAATCATCACTATATTTAGCATCAGCTTATAAATATAGGAGATGCAAGCGGTGCATAATGCATGAGCAAATAAGCTAGTTTCATTCATACTCTCCAATTAGTTCCCCTCCATATTCTTTCCCACTAAATCTCTCTAACATAAATTCTTTCTTCTACTTATCTGTGCAAAACCATTTCCTCACTTCATAGGGTATGCTACCTTAATCCTCCTTCATGCTACTTTCAATTCCATTCTTAAACAAACCAACATTAATATGAATACTAGTTTACATTTACTTGGCTAATATGATTAGGCCTGCGCAAACCCATTAACTAAATTACGTTTTGTTGTAGCCTTTTTAATTTGAGTAGCCTATAAGTTGTATGCAATTTTCGAATCTGCAGATCAAAAGAGTTAACTATGGCAAAGCAGTCATCTGAGCTGGCCATTGAAGAACTGAAGAAGCTTCTCAGGTTAATTAATGACTTCTCAACTTTCATCACGTTAAAATCACTCTCCCTTACGCTGTTTCCTTTAATCGTCTACTAATTCAATGATGCATAAATTACAGATAAATGCTAACTTACCGATGAAGATAATAAAACTAAGAAGTCTTTCAATACAACTATATGTATCATGTCAAAATTTGAGACTCTTATAATTAAAAATATTTATTGTTTATTAAATACACGATGAGAATATATAATCATAATTTTGTAATAAATTTTGTTTATTCTTAACTTTTAATAAGTATCTTTAATTAAGAGCACTATTTAGCATTGAATTATCGCTTATATGTAGTAATAATATTGTGGCTTGCTGGTCCAGAGAGAAGGAGGAACTTGATGGGGTTGCAGCGCCAAAAATTGAGGAGCTTATAGCTGAGTTAAAAGGATGTAATGTGTGTCCATTTGAGCCTCCAGTACAGAGAATCATAGACGGATTCACTTACTTCAAGCGCAACAATTTCGAGTAAACTTACGAATAAACTCTTCATTGTTGTGCCTCTAAATAATAATAATAATACCTCTCTTGCACCCTCATTTCTTTTAAGTTATTAAGAACTTTGTTATTTAGATTCATGAACTCTTCTTTTCTATATAAATATGGCAGCAAGAACCCCGATCTGTACGCAGAACTTGCTAAGGGACAAAGCCCTGAGGTGATTACTTAATGTTTAATTATGGTCCGTTAAATTACGGTTTGTAACTACAATTATTGTCTTTTAGTACGTTTAAATTTATATTTAAATGGGTATAAATTTATGTTTGTTTTAATGTTATTAATTATGATAATCGTTGTATGGAATTTACGTTTATATGATTTTTAAAGTTTTGTTAAACTTGCACTTTGTGACTGTAATTACGGTTATTTATTTACAATTTTTCTTACATCAAGATGGTGATATAACCGCAATTATAATCTAAAGATTCTAATTAACCCTTTGTACTTATGTTTTCAAACTCCTTCACCATATGGGTATTTCAAATTTGATTTGATTGTTTTCCCTTTGAAAAAAATTGATTTGTTTTTAATTATTGCACGCAGTATCTGATATTTGCTTGCTCTGACTCTCGAGTGAGTCCCACTACAATCCTGAACTTCCAACCTGGGGATGCTTTCATGGTCCGCAACATTGCAAACATGGTTCCTCCATTTAATCAGGTTTCACTCCTTCACTATTATCCAGATCAATGAATCACTATATATACACTTTTTTGAAGTTCAAATTACATTATTGAAACTCGTTCTCCATCTATTCATTGAAATAAGTTGTTTTAATTGTTAAATTACTCACTGTCCCATTCTATTTTCCAGCTAAGGTACAGTGGAGTTGGTGCCGCCATTGAGTATGCTATCACGGCTCTTAAGGTGACGTTATTGGTTTATTATCCATTTGGGTCCACATTACATGGAAAATCATTTCCTTACACCCTACACGTGTTTTAATATAAAATAATATTAATTTAAACGAGTTTCTTATGCTTATAGTCTTTAATATTAATTTTATGCATTTAAAATAATAAACTTTATTAAAAAATAATACTTATTACATTTCTATATTTTTAATCTAATAAATATTTTATTTTTCATTAAAAACTTGTCACTTGCATGTGTGTCTGTTTTTTTATTTAATCCTTAAAGCTTAACATTTTCTTAATTCAAATATCAATTTTGTTAATTTTAACGCTTAAGTTTGACTTTATGCAATTAAAATAATTATTTTTATTAAAATATTTATTTGATTAAAAATACGAAAATATAATAATTTTTTAATAAAATTTATTGTTTTTAAATATTTAAACTCAATCCTTAAAACTGAAGTTAGTAAAATAATTTAAATATGCGTATTAAATGTTGCTTAACTATTCAAAATAAATGCTACTCAAATATAAACCGAATGGGCACTATTACATTCATAAAATTGCCAACATTAATATTCCAAAAGCTCAATTCTCTTATTTTCTTTTCTTTAGTGTTGATTTATAACACAGAGGAACATTCTGTGAGATACATAACATAGGACCAACCAAATATCTTTGCAGGTGCCAAATATTCTGGTAATTGGACACAGTCGCTGCGGCGGAATAAAAAGGCTTATGAGTTACCCAGAAGATGGTTCTGCTCCCTAGTAAGAATTAATTAAAATATCTTCACTATTTTAATTAGTTCCTTGTTTGGCAAAGACAGTTAAAATAAAACGCATGTAGGATATATTAGGATGGAACAAATCGCGATGCTTAACCCATTTTATTGTTCAATTGATTCGTGCAGTGACTTCATAGATGATTGGGTGAAAATTGGTTTGCCTGCCAAACTCAAGGTCCTGAAAGAATATGATGGCTATGATTTCGATGAACAGTGCAAATTCTGTGAAAAGGTTTACATAGCTACCATGATTTAAATATTTAATCACTAATGAGCATTTTAAACTGCTCTAGAATTTTTAGTAATTATGATAATGGAGTTAATTAAACATGGTGATTTGTGCGTGCAGGAGTCGGTGAATAACTCGTTAGTGAATTTGAGGACATATCCATATGTTGAAAGTGGAATAAGGAACAACAGCATAGCACTGTTCGGGGGTTACTATGATTTTGTGAAGGGAGAATTCCAGCTTTGGAAGTTCGAGTCTCACATCACTAAACCCATTACCATCCCTCTCTGTGACCATGAGTAAATGGGTTGATGGCTCAAACTTGGCACCACTAGCAACTTATTAAGTTCTTATTACAACTTGTGTTGTACTCCCTTGCTTTTCTATCCTAAATAAGTTACAGTTCCCTTCTGTAACGTGTTTAAAGACATATGAATGATAACTTTTTGACAAATGTATTAAATCATTAAAGTAACAAAATAAATTTATTGTTCACTGGGCTTAATGTCAAATAACAAACCTAAAAAATATTACTAGTTGAGTAAAAAATAGAGTAAAATTGTAAATGAAAAAATTAAATAAAGTGCAGAATATAAAAGCATAAGTGCTGAAAAATTTAAATAATCATGGAATTAAAAATTCAGATGGAATGGACTAATTTATAAATAAAATTAAACTGCAGAATATAACTAAATAATATAAGGAAACTCAATTGTAAATTAATTAAGAAATAGGTTGAGTTTATAATTCTTTATCTTTTTCCCTTGTATCAATTACATATATAACCCAAAATACAGCTCAATTTAATAATTAGGTTTTTAAAAATATCTAATCCTAATTCTTTGGTAAATTAGTTCTAAAATGAATTTAACTTCTTAATTTCTTAGATAAACCAAAAAACATTCAGCATTAAGATTAAAACTCAAATGACCACCTCATTTTAAACTTCTATTCCTAAGTAATCTATAACAAACATTTTGATCACAGTCCAAGAAAGTTCACAACTTTCCAATCATAAACTTCTTTTCATTAATCCGAATACGTAAAACAGAGAGTCACTAAGTTCGAAATCAAAAGTGTTAGATTAAAGCTTATATTTTGAGTTACATTCAGTGTTTAGTTCATTGCAATAGATAAAAGAATAAGTTTATTCTTCTTCAACCCCAAGGAAATTAGCAAGACATAATAGAAATAAGGAAGAAGAAACTGAAATATATTACAAAAAAGAAAATCATGATCAATAAAAAGAGCTTACAACAGAATATAAAATGTAAGAAACTATTGTTTCATTACAAAACCAAGAGAAAGAAGGGATGTAACCCAACTTCTCATTAAAATCTCATAGAAAAGAAGGAAGAACATACCTTAGTTGACATTCCTATGTAAAACTGTATAAAAAACTTAAAATTCTGCGTTTATGAAATGTAATAAAAAGATGTAATAAAAATGTCGTCTTTTTGAGCATCATGTCCATAATCTGAAGTTCATGTGCTCACAAATGTGTCCTACAATAATTCAATTATTCTCGTAAATTTCAATTGTCAATTTTTTTTAATTTCTTCAAGATTCAAATATCAACTATCAATATTTAAATAATTAATCAAATTTTCAGCAATCATTCATTCTATTGAATATTCTAATTAATTACGCCAACTTATAAATTTAATTCAATGAAACGAGTAATAAGTCTTTTATTTAGTAAGTATTTAATTAAACCTTACTCTTGATTCTATTTGGAAGTATATAAATCTCGTGGTCTAGTCGCCAAAAAAGATTAAAGAAAGAAAATGTGTTATATTTTGTTTTGGGTTCAATTGCTTGTTGCACTCGTCATTACAGCCGTACGAGGTGTTAATAAAAAAATTATTGTGTCCTTTTTCTCTCTATCCTGAAAATTCTAACACATCGTTAAAACGATGATAACTCTTTTGTGATAGCTGCTATGATATAGTATTATTATTATTTTTAATTAAACTCACAGTTTGATTTAAGTAATTTATATTGTACTAAATGTTAATATACATGTATTAAAACGTATTATTGAAATTTTCATTTTAATTAAAAATAATATTAAGAATATCTATGATACTGTATTTTATTTTATTTTAATATTTATAACTAAAAAAATGGACGGTGGTGATCGTCTGTTATCTTCCTCTTAGAAGTCCATTTCAAGGGTTATACGATGATCCTGAAAAATTTAAATAGAAATGGAATAAGATGAAAGCTTCAATTTTGGCTGCTTCAGTTCAAATCATACTTACTATTCGAATTTTATGAGAATGATAGAAAATTCAACAGTAAAAAAAAAAGAGAGAATAATTCAAGTGCTAACGTTATACTCTATCTGGTTCTCGAATCTCCTGACCCTGCACCCAATATTATATTTATATATATATATATATATATATATATATATATATAAAATATCAACAAATAAACCAGAAACTCCAATGATTTTAATAACACTTTAATTTGATAACATTTTTTCAATTGTAAATAAAATTTGTCTCTATAGAGAGTTGTTGGAAGAGGTTTTGAAAATTTTAAGAAAATATTTTATGATTTCTGTAATTTTTTAAAACTTGTTTAAAAGATTTCTTAATATAATTATTAAAATAAGTCTTTCTTAACTTATTTTAATTAGTTTCATTGTCAAATTTATGTTATAAGACTTCATAATAGAAGTTACTGAATAAATATTTAATTAAAGTGTTTATTATTTATTTAAATGTGACCTTAATTTTTAAAAATATTATTTATCTTTGTAAAATATTACTAATTTATCTCCTAAAAATAAATTAAGAGTATATGATTTAGATTAGTTAATTGATATTTAATATTTTTACTTTATTAATAATTTTAAATATTAAATATTTTCTTATTCACCAAAGATGTTAATTTTTATTTAATAGTCCGTATAATATGATAATATGTCAGGATATAAAACTTTTAAGGTTTCAATTGGATTCTAAATTACTACAAAAGGTAGTGAAAAATATGATAAAGGAAAATAAAAAATTATTAAAAGAGCTCTAATAAAAATTTGATTATTTTAAATTAATTTAAAAAAAATATTGATATAAGCATTGAAACTAAATAGAAATTGCATTTTCTTTTAAAATATAGAAAAGATAAAAATCTAACTTTAATTACGATTTATTAGTATAACTAAAGTTATCATAAATATGATCCTAATTGTAACCTACTAGTAGAATTAACACTATATTTAATTTTAAACTTAAGAACTATGGAAAAGTTCTCCCCCATTATATAAAATAACTTAAATCATATTTAAATTCATTCATTATACTTTACACATCTTTTATTTATAAAAATAAATACGATAAAATTAACGTATGAAATAAAATTCAAATAAAAATAAACAAATAATAAAATCTAGTGTAATTTAAAATATTCTTATAATAGAATCTTTATCCTAAAATACATCTTAATTAAATAAAACTATTCTTATATCCTAATTAGATTAATATAAAAAAATAATCTAAATCTTTGAAATAAAAATCAATGATTTTATCATGCTTATTTTAGATATTCATTTGCTAAGTTTGAGTAGGTAAAATTATAATTTTATTTATCATTTCTTCTTAGATTTTTTTCTTGTAGATTAAAATTGTTTTCCTTTCATATATCTTGAGCTCCATAAATAGGCCTTGCAAAGTTTGTTGTATTCTCTTAGTACTTGTTCTTGTTATTGGACTTCATATTTCATTGTCGCAACTAAAATCATGACGGGACGACGATAATAAGGAGTTGTCACCAAAGTTTATTAAAGAAAACGTTGGAAAAACTTTTGATAAAAAAAAATCTTATAAACTAGATTTAGGTTAGGGAGTCGTTTACATATAAGGAAGGTATTAGCACCCTACGACGTCCGTTGATTAAAACGGTTACCTTATAATTAATTGTGCAAAAATTATTTTAACTTAAAAAATATTTCACTCTAAAAGAAAACAATTAATATTTCTTACTATTTTAAAATTTGTTTTTATTATTACTTTTTAGATTTATTTTAAATTTTTACAATTTTTTAGAGATGTTAATTTTATTTTTTAAAATAAGGAAGCACACAAAAAAAATTTATTTGAATTAATATTATTCTTTTCTCATTTTTGTATAAAAGAAATATATTATATATATAAAAAATTATCTTACACTTTATTTTTTTTTTGGTCTTTATATATTTTTTAATTTTTAAAATAAAATAAAAATCTCATTTTTAATTTTTATAAAGAAAATATGCTAGAAATTAATCTTAGTTTAAAACAATTTTAAAAATATTTTGAACTTGAAATTTTTTTTTAAAAAAAATGGACTTGACGGGTCAGGTTTCCGTTCCTACGTATTTTCTGTATGCAACGGAAGAATCAAAACTACTACGTAATTCTTTTGAAAATTAGGTTTGGATGAGTTTCAAAAGTGTTATTTTTTTTAGCTTGATTTTTACTTAGTTATTATTTTTTGTAAATCCACTCCTACACGGGGTTCAAGTTAGTACACGACTACTCAATAAACACTTACGATCCAAGCGATGTTGAAGGTGGATCCACCACTCTATCAAAATTACTTGGCCATTGCGTGGATTTAAAATACTTTTTTTTTATAACCAAAATATCTTATTAATATGGGATTTTTTTATATGATAAGAAATAAATGAGAAATATATAGAACAATAAAAAAAAAACCCAAGAACGAACAAAAATAACAAGAAAATAATTATTGTTTGATTTAAGAATTAGTTTTTTGGGATTTGCAAAGTTTAAGATTTACAAAGAAAGAAAGAATTTTTAGGATTTGGAAAATTTAGACTTTTATAATTTGTGAAATGGTTGGAGTTTAAAAAAGGTTATTTTTTAGACCTTGCAAAAAATTGAATGATCTTGGGTTAGAAAAACATATTATTTTAGGGTTTGCAAAAAAACAATAATTTAGAGTTAGAAAAAAATAGTTTATTTTTAGGGTTTGCAAAAAAGGTAATACTCGGAGTTAGAAAAAAATTAATTTTCATGGATTTAGATTTTATTTTTTAGGGTTTGACTGAGGGAGAAGTAATTTAGGGTTAGAAAAATTATTAGAATTTATAAAAAGAAAATTTTATTGAATTTTCTCTTTTCATTTATTTATTTATTTATTAAACTTGCAAAAAATATATTAAATCATGAAGAAGAAGAGAAGAACGTGCAAAATAAATAAACAAAGAAGGAGAATCCTTAATAAAATAGGAAGGATGAGAAATGAACAAAGAAAGAGAATTCTTATTAGATAAAGGGAGGATGGAAAAT